GGGGGGGGGGCGCTGCGCAACCACCACGCAGGGAGGCGCGTTGCAGGAAGCAAGCAGGCGCTTTGGGTTTGCTCGGCCTCTCGCAGGCGTGTCGGCGCCGCAGCAGGCCCCGGGCGCGGGGATGGGGCTGACCCGCGACGCGTAGACGGCGGACTGCAACGCAAGCCCTGCGGCAAATCAAGCCACAAAAATAGGCACCCAGGTGACTAGGTCTTTCTGTTGTGCACACGCGGCCCACGGGGTGACACTGAGAGAGGCAGCACCCGGCCTCCCGACAACACACTGGGGCCCCCAACCGCGGACACCAGAACCCGCGGCGCCCGCCTTGGCATCCGTGATGCGCCTGCAACACTCACTCTTGCCCCCTGGGTGCACCCCTCACTCCTGCCGTGGACCCAGCCTCAGGCCTAGTCCCCCCTTCTACACTCAAGCCGTTACGCCCCGTCCCCACCCCGGCCGGCGCTTGAAACCCACCATCTCGCTCATTGGGGGGTGGTCGGTCGCAACGACGAGGGCGCCCGCGGCGCGCGCCTCGGCAATGTACAGCCCGTACCCCTCGCGCTCGCTGGGGCAGACGTGGACGCCTATGCCCAGCTGCAGGCGCGCGAGCGCCTCAGGCCGCGCGGGGTCGAAGCGCGGCCAGTTGGGGCCTGGTGCGGGGGGCGGGAGGGGGTTGAGGGTGGATAGGTCGTGAGGCTGGGTGGGGCGTAGTCCAAGGGTCTGTGAGGCGGGGACGGCGGGACGAGAGGAAGGGACTGGAGTGTCCGCGGCGCCGTCTGGGGTGGCGGGCTGGGAGGACGGCCCACACGCTGCAAAGACACGTACACACACACTCAAAAGGCCCGTGCGCGTGCACACACACACACACACACACACACACACACACACACACACACACACACAGACATGCACACACACAGAGGCACGCAAGCATGCCCAAAAATGCACGTGTGCCCACACGTGCGCCAAAGGCAGCGCAACGTCAAATCAACACACGCGCGCATGCCCACACACATTTCCACGCAGTCCCTATGCGCACCGTCGGGGATGCCGGGCCATGGGACCCGTATGTTGGGGGCAGCAAGGTACCTTTTTGAGGCGGCCAAATTGATCTGGGGGTTGGGCAGGGGCCTGCGCGCGTGGCCGGGCGCAGCCGGCAGCGAGGGAGGGGGGGGGGCCACGTCAACTGGCGGCAGGAAGTGCCACGGCGGCGCGAGTGCGGCCCCGGCCGCAAGCATTGATCCAGGCTGCCTGCACAACTGCCGCCGCTGCCCCGTCGGCCCTTGGCAGCGTCTCACCCGACGAACGTCAGATTTGGCCACTCCGGGTGTCGCGCCCAGCACTCCAGGAGCTGCGCCGAGTGCTTCAGCTCGGACTTGCCGCGCACGTGAAGGAATGCATTGAAGTCGGGCGCGCTCGGCAGCGGCGGCGGCGCGGGCGGCGGG